GCTTGATTTTGCTATGAGCAAAGACACGGGGGGGGGGCAGTCACGCAACAGCGGCATGGTGGATGGCATCTAAGAGGGGCAGCCATCCATCCCACGAGACGCGCTCGTAGGGACGTGGCTATGTCCATGCGGCTGGGCAGCGGCCGCGTGGTGCCGGTGGCTTGTTTAGTGACTGAGTCGGCTGTCCATGACAGTTGCTTGCACACCAACCGCACCTTCGCCCTTGTGCTGGGTTGCGCCATGACCGCGCACGCGCGCACGGGGCACGACCCGAGAGGGCCTCTCCTGGACCACCGCCCTGCACATCCACCGTGCCTTCATGCCCGCTAATGCTTATGTCAGGCTGAATCGCACCACCACGCGTTACAACCTGTACGCATTGGGCGAGCATACACCCGTCGACATTTGTGCACAAGGCATTCGCCGCCAACGTGTCCGCTGCGCAGGACTGCACGCCTAAATTTGTTTGTGCACCGTATCCCGACCCATGCTTGCCAATAGCAGCTGACACAGCATTGCGCTGTCATGCAGCCCCTTCCAGCATGTGCCTAGCAGCAGTGCTTTTGTGCTTGGTGACCACATGCTGCACCAACCGCTGCGTGGCTGCTTTTGTTGTGCTGGCTCATGGGTGGGTAGTTAAGCAAAGCCCTGGAGCAATTCATACAGCGTTCAACGCCAGGCTTCAACCATGGGGTTGGCAGCCATTGCAGATGTGGGCGAGGCGCCGCAAGCGGTCTGGGACAGGTGCGAGCCCTGCGGCCTGGAGTGGTGCGGTTCCCCGAACACGCCTTCCGGGAGCCGCGGCTTCTGTAACAACTTGTAAGATCTATACTTTTCATTCAATGAGTACCGCCGGGCTTTGTGCTGCCGGGAGGCCGGGCTTTGTGCTGACGTAGGTGCAAGGCCTCGCGGAGTTGTGCGGGACCCCGAACACGCCCGCCCCTTCCTCTCATGGCCCTGGGAAACAAGTTGAATATTAACTAACCCTTTGGGCCCGGCGGAGCGGGCGGCAGGGCCCTCCCTGAATTTATGTAATGCGGCGCGGTGCCCGGTTGGGTCGCCCATAGGCCAGGCCATGAGTCATGCTGTGATCTTGGTTGACCGGCCAAAGTCTCACCTGGCAATGATAACACCCGTTGATTGTGGGGTTCTGGCATTCTGCCACGTCCTGTTTGTTCAACGCAACCATGCACACAGACACGGGGGCGATCAACAGCGCCCTGGGCGTGGTCGGCATACATGTAGATGAGCAGCTGTCAGCCCCGCAGAACGGGCTCGCGGGGGAGCCTTGGGTCGCGGCTGTGTCCGTGCGGCTGGACAACGGCTCAACTGCTAAGTACAAGAACTTCAGATATCATAGAGATTCGTGGCGCGACCGAGTTGGACAGGCTGCCCGTGACGGCCGCATGTACACAAAGCTGACATTATGATACTCCTGGTGCTGGGTTGTGCCAGGTGCGCACACCTCGCACAGCCTCTTGGGGACTACCAAACTGCACATCGCCGCGCCTTTTCACGGCCGTAGCCTATGTCATGCTCAGATGCACCACACGCGCGGCCACCTGTACACGTTCGGCGAGCCGAACCCCCCGACATCACGTCTGTGCATAAAGCCGCATCGCTGTAGACGGGGCCACTGCGCACCCCACGCGCAGATTTTGAGCACCCGCGTGCCCCCAAGCGCATCGGTCACAGCAGCTTGCTGTCACACATCCCCCCTCGCCCCTGCCTAGCGGCGTGTCAGCTTACAACACATGGTCACGCACCTGACTAGGCGACCACATACTGCCGCACAGGTGTGGCGGCAGCGGGGTGCTATTGGGTCAGCTCTGGTACAAGATGGTGAAGCAAAGCATTCAAGTACTGTCATCACATCTGTTTCACGTGTGCCACACAGCATCCCAAGTCAGGCGGTGACAAAGGGGTGTTCGCTGCCAGGGGCGAATGAGCAGGCGCAGCCGACCGAGCAGGGCAATCCCCCGACCACATGCTACCAAGGAAGTAGAGAACATGCTACCAAGAAAGCAGAGTTTTTGGGGCGTTGCATATGAGTTGTGCGGGGAGGTTCCATGAGTTGGGCAGGGCGTTTACCAGGAACGTGGTGCATTTGGTGCATTCCTACGCATCGTTGCGCGGTCCCGGGACAACACATGGGCCCTTGCCTCAGGGTACGGAAGGATGCGTGGTGCTGACCCCGCTCACGACCGCAGAGTGAGCCCAGGCCTGCCACCCCTGCCCCTTGTTTTTCTCCCCCTGTCCATCCATGGATGGCTAGCCAACAAGTCGGACTGGAAGGTTTCATTGGTCATGACAACAGCATGTATGCTGGTGGTACATATCAGACAACATCAGGCAGATTTATGTAACAAAAATTTGGCTTGCAGATGTGGGTGGGAAATGGAGGGGTGTTGTGGTCTTGTGATGGAGTAAACACCATCACAAAGTGTTAGGGCAGGCCCAACACCCAGAAAACCCTCCTTAACAAGTTCCCTCAAGCTTTCCAGGAACCATACAACTTCTCCTCCCTATTTGTTTCAAAAACCTTCCAAACCCGTCCATAAAAACTATTGTGACATCACTGTCTGTATGAGGTCATACCGGCACGGTGTGCGCAGGAAGGGGGTGTCGTCGAGGTCAGGGTCCCTTTGGAAGGTGCACCAATGAGCAACCTTTGCTTTGCGGTCTGGCTGCGTTGCGCGACAGCCTATGGCCCACAAAAATTGCTATTTGATTCTCACCAAATCAGACTGGTTGCCTTGGGAGAGGACACGGGGGACTGCACGAGCTCACATTCATGATCCACTGCAGGCGTTGGCAAGGCGTGATGCACCATCTGGTTTGATGGTCCTCCAGACCACTCTGCAGCGCTTGAGGGGGCTACTAACAGCTGCTAGCTGAAGCAAACCCGGCTACTTTAGTTAGTTCTCGTGAGGCTCGCAGACTCCCACCGACGTTGCTGGGCTGGACATTGAAGATGTCGTCGACTACGGCCCTCAAGTTGCCATTTATAGGCATTTCACCGTAAAATAGGATGGCTGATGCATGTCACTTACAGTGTACCGTACCATAGCACAAGCGCTCCGGGATCCGCATTCCCCTCCAGTCGTGTGTTGAAAGGCTTGTGTTGAGCAGTGCTCACCTGATTTTTGTGTCACAGTGACAGCTGGATCATCAACTTCCTGGTTGCTCAGGAAGGGCCCCGGCTGTGCGTACCGGCCACGTCCTGCGCTCGCGCTCTTGCTTGGTAGCCAAGCAAATGCGCAGGTGAGGCGGGCCCAGGCTGGCCAGCCGGACATGACTGTGGGGCTCTGAATGTGATAGCATCACAGACGCTGTAACAGTCTTGTACCTCTGTTTCGGCAGCAAGCACACCCATCCACACCAGGACGTGGTCTGCACGTGCAGCTGGCACCCATTGTCTCGGCAGTACCCGGGCTGCATGTGTGGGCAAATATGTGCAGCATTCACTGACGCAGCCGTGCAAGGCCTGAAAGCATTAGGCGTACGCCCAAGAATTCAGTGACGATAAATCTGTGAGCAGCACATCATCCTTCAAATTTTCCAACGCCGCACAGGAAGGGGGGGTGCTGAGAGCCGCAAGCGCCACGTCTTGTCGCACAGCAGGACAGGCAACCACTTCGAGCAACCAGGGCTGCAGAAGTGAGAGGGATGTTCGCAATGGTTTGAGGCAGCAGTGGCACCACCAGCAGCAGCGACAGCATCGTCAGCATGTCTGGCCAGTCGATGCCTTTGTTGCCGCAGCTTATGTGCTGAGTCGAGCAATAAAACTACTGGTGACAGGTGCAGATGCAGACACATGCATGAGCATGCACACGACGTCACATTGCGTACGAACCTGTCAGGCAGACACACATGAGCATGCGCCCGCACGCATGCGTGCACACACTCATGAGATCACACACACACACACACACATACACACACACACACACACACACACACACACTCCAGGACCGACCAAGGGCTCTGGCTGCTGTCGTGCAAGCATGGGTCAATCGGCGTGTTCCGCAAGTCAGCACTGTGCAAGCCGTGTGATTTACATGACGCTTGGCATTCTGATTGGCGCCGCTGCTGTGCTATTGCTGGACGATGGACGCATAGCTGCTGCAACACGCCAGCACGTGACTGTTCGATTTATGTCGATTGGCGCCGGCGGGCTCAACAGAAGCCAGCTGCCCTCAAAGTTCATTGCCAGGGCCGACTTATGCAGCCGGCCCCAGCGTGCCTGCACTTTTGCTCAGGCGAATCAGCACCTGCTCTGCAATGGCTCCTACCCGAAATTTATAACGTGGTCCAACCAGACCACGACCGGGTACGGGGAGGTGTTCAGGCTTGCCCCGGGCTGCGTCAACGGCTCTGGTGCGTGCCTTTTTGAGAAAAACGCGCCCCGGTCACGGCGCATCGTGGTCATGGGCGACTCCCAGGCGTTCAGGCTGATGCGCGCCATGCTGCTCGTGCTCAGCAAGGTGCCAGGTATCACCTGCACCATGACGGCTGACGAGGCCCACTTGAGGACCGCATACTACAATGTGTCGGACACCGTGGCGGGGGGATTGTCCTGCAGCGGCTGCGACAGCTTCCGCGCCACATGCAAAGGAGCGAACAACAGCGTCGAGATTGAATACCTGCGGCTCGAGTACACGCTCGACTTCGAACTGTCAACGGCGGCGCGCATGCACTTTGCTGGCAAGTGCAATCACAGCCAGCTGCCCCCCTGCAAGTGGTTTTGGAACACCCAGCAGTTCTTGTTTGAGGGCTACCTCAGGCAGCGGCAGCCGCCGCCCGATCACATCCACATTTTTCAAAACATGCACGACTGCGCGCGCCGCTCGCTGGTCGACCACCGCCGGGACCTGTCATGGTTTGTTAACCTTCTCAATGCGACGCTGCTGCCCGGCACCACTGTCCACTTTTGGGAGGCCCCCCACCCCAACGGCGCGAAGCAGTCCGAGGCGTGGCGGAACGTCACCTCGCCGACGTGCATGCGTGGGATGAACGATGCTGTGAAGCAAGCCATCATACCCTTTGTGGAGCGGACGGCCTTGGCGCCAAATGCGTCTGCGAAGTCAGGCCACGCCGCTTGGTACGGGGCGTTTGACCTGTTCTCGCCCACTGGGGCGCGGCTTGATTTGAACGTCGATGGCGTGCACATGCGGCCCGACTGGTACGAGACCCTCGCACACGCGCTGATCGCCGGAACGTGCAGCCTTGGCTAGCACGCCGGCCAACTCTATGACGCACCTACGCTTCTGCAGCCAACGCTGGTTCCTCATTCATGATCCGATGTCCTGCCACAATTGGAGGCTCTTCTGCGCCCGTCGGTGCGCCTGTGGCGCCAGCCTCTATCGCGGCCAGGATTATCCTCCCCGCACGGTGGTGGCGAGAGGTGTGCTGCGCGCTCAGCGCTGGGCATGCCAGCATGGCGTGTCCAGCGGTCTCGTCCGGGTCTCCGCATAGGCGGCAAGCCGTGCTTTTGCTCTTTCCCCACTTGTGCAGGTTGTGCATGGTGGGGAGCTGTCCGCATCTCCGCTCACTATCCAACCCTGCTGCACGCGATTGACACGTTGCTTGGGAACCAGTTGACTCTGGATTCAAATATTGCACATCCCTCACACTGCCAACCCGTCTGTGCAACTACTACTGCCGAAATTTGAGCGCCGTCGCTCTGCGCGAGCCACCTGCTCGCACCTGATTGCTGTTGAATTTGTTGGCGTCGTCAACAACCTGACCCACGCTTGCTGGCCCAGCTGGGCTGCAGCCAATTCACATGTTTTGAATTCAAGTATATGACACCACAGTTGCTTCCTCGAAGCGCTGCAGGCCTTTATTCGCCTCCATTCCTGTGAGCATGTGTGACACGACAGACCTAAGAATGGCCTCGGTTGTAAGGCCATCTCCCTGCGACAAATTTGCCGCAGACCAGCATCCTGGCTGTGCGTGAATCAGCGCAGCACCACAGTGTGCGTGACGACACACCACCACCGTGCTGTGACAGCGCGAGGGCGCGGGGGGGGGGGGGCACAGGGCACAGTCGTGCCCGCGGTGAGGGAGACCGTAGCTTAACAGACGCGCAGCCTTGGGCAGAGTGCGCATACCGACAGGGCGAGAACAGTTTACCCAATGCTAGTGTTCTTGGAAGTACGTACTGCATACGTGTCAAGGCGTGTGTGTAGAAGGTACTGAGATGAGCACAATAATGCATATGGGACATCTACACATGCGAGGTGTCGTGGGCCCACGACATCCATCATCCCGGGATGAAACTTCCTTTCATGCAAGTAAGGCACAGAGCGGCAAGCTGCGCTTGTTTTTCCATGAATGCCCCAGGGTTTGCAGCTTTGGTTCGTTGGCGCCTTAACCTCCACGTCTGGGTGATGCTGTTCTGGGTGTGCCCATGCTGCCGGTGCTTTCCCAGTCATTTCCTGCCCAGCAGCGGGCTGGTGCCTTGTCTGAGCCTTGAAGGGTGACTCAAAACCCCGTGGGTTCCTGCATGCTGACCGTGGACGCATCCAAGTGTGCACAAAACAAACGCAGGACGCACTGCGCGCCCCGCGTTTCGTGGTCCCAGGGGAGGGGTCGCGTAGGTTGCGTACGCGTGGCTGGTGCAGTGAGGGTCTCGGCTGCTTTTGTTCCGTCATCCTGTGCTCTCGCAGGTGTATGCCTGCGCGGGGACACCAACAAGGATCTGTGGGCCGGGTGCCCCTCTCATGGTTGCAGTGCCTGCCAGATTAGGAGGCTCACTGCGCGCGTGCGTGCATCTGATGCAGCCCACGATTCGAGTGGGTCCACCCAGCCATACGCAATTCACGAACTGGCCACCCACCCCGCCGACGGGTTCAGCGGTTTGCGAACGCAGACTCAGGGTCAAGGGCAGGGTGGGTGGCCAGTTCGTGAATTGCGTATGGCTGGGTGAATCCACGTTGGATGGCCTCCATGCTGTTCCACGCATGCTGTGCTGTGTGTATGCATGTGACCGGCGGTGGCACCTTTGTTGGCAAGCCACTCATGCACTTAACGTTTTCTCATCTATGCACACGCACCCCCGCAAGGCGCCGGTGCAGCGCCGCGCACGCTGTTGTATGGCTTGTCCCCAAGCGTGCAGTACAAGGGCCTTGCCTGCTACTGTGCTTTTGCGGCAGGGTGGTGGTTGATTATTTGTTGTTGATTGCGGTTGCTTGTACGCTGTAAGGGCCTCACATATGCGGGGCTTGAGATTCATCCCTTTTTGCAGTGCCTGCTTCTCTTCCCCATCCATGTGAATGCATGGGTCCATCAGCTGTGCAGGTTAATAAAACGACCGGGTTGTGAGTGACAGCCTCATTGCTAGGCACGCGGGCGCGGCGTGAACACCACATCCTCGGCGCCACATGGTGTTCAAGGAGCTTCATTCGATATGAACTTCCTGGCTGCATTGTTATCCTGAGGTCAAACACTGCGCTGCGGCTGCCGGCGCACAGGCTGTGCTGTCACCTTTATGCATGGCGGCTGAAGGGCCGAGCGGGGGCTTCGCCTTCCAGGCCTTCTGGGAACTGATACCAACGAGAGACTCAGGTACGCATTAGTCAAGGAGATCTTTACGGTACCACTGCCAATCCGCGACGTGCCTGGCGTTGCTTTGCTCGGGCATTATGATATCAGTGCCGCCCACTTGTGTTGCAGCCAGTTCCGCAACTGGGCCTAAAACTCCAAAACTTCCGAAATACTTTGAGGAAGGTTGATGGCCAGAGAATCACCAAGGGAAAACTTGCAGCTAACCCCAAAGGATCGGGCAACAGGCACCCGGTTATTTGTTTGGCTGCGAGCAAAGGTACGGGTACTTCAATTCTAGGCCATACCTCATTTTCTGACACTCGCAACCTTCGACGCAAGTAGCAGAGGCACTACTTCCTCGAGCCGACCACGACGTCGGGTCGTTTCAACGTGTTGAGACCCCAACAGTAGAACCGTTCTACGTCAGGTTGCATCGCACTTACAACGCAGACAAACACCACACACACAAAATTTCTCTAAGCGATAGGGCTCGGTGTGGGGCGTGGAAACAGCAGGGCAGCCCACAAGCAACAGCAATAATGCGATCCCCTCTTGCGGGCGAGGCCTTGCGCCTGCTCATGACAGTAACTGTGACCTTGATGGTCGTGCAAGTGTTCTTTACCAGGCAGTACAACCCATCTGCAGCAACTGGACAATTCAACAAAAACCACACCCTCAAGTCTCACACCCGGAGTGAGGATGCCTGGATACTTGACATGCACAAGTGGACCCCAGAACAAACAGGGTACAAGTCACAGGGCTCTCAAGACTTTTACATTGATACAATTGTCGACAAAATCGGGGGACCCACCAACAAGTTTTTTGTGGAGTTTGGTTTCAATGAGCCGGGCTACACCACTGGTGGATCTGGCGCAAATACCCGCAATCTGTACGACAAAGGCTGGCGCGGGCTCCTGCTAGACGGGACTCAGAATAATCCAGACATCAACCTACACGCGCACTACCTTTTTGCCAGCAACATAGCCTCAATCCTCAGACAATACAGCGTGCCGCGAGACCTTGACTTTCTATCCTGTGACATGGACTCCCACGACCTTTTCGTTCTCGAAGGCATCTTTCAAGGAGGCTTCAGGCCAAGGCTGATTACAACAGAGTATAATGCAAACTACCCTCTGGGCATGGCGATTGCTCAGGCCGACCCAGAAATGTTGTATGGGCACCAGCCTAAGAACTTTTCGTTTGTTTTCAAGCAATGCGCATGGGGCGCTTCAGCTTCTGCGGTGCGGATACTTGCGGAAAAGTTTGGTTACACCCTTGTTGGGGTCGTTGGATATCTTGATCTGGTGTGGTTGCGCAGCGACTTGATAAAACCAAACTGGCATGTCCCAACCTTTGAGTGGTTTTTCACGCCTCCCGCACCCTTCTTTGGAACACTTGGCTCTGATCTGGTATTCCATAAGCAGCAAGAGTCACCAGAAGTCTTCGAATGGCTTATTGACTACGAGCTGTACAGCAAAACAAAGGACTTCAACCGCAGTCGGGACTCTGCCCGTCAGCTTTTGACGCAGAACAAGTTGAAGTGCTTTGAGAAGGTTGTTTGACAGCACATACCCTGGGCTTGTTGGAGACAACCTCTTCCCCTGTCATGGACCCAACATAGTGCTGAGCCTCCCTGCACCGACTGCACAACAATTAAAGGGGTGCGCAAGACTGCCGCGCATATGCCCAAGCTTGCTTGCCCAAGCATGCGCCGCCCAGGTATCTAGGAAGAATTGCAATTTGTAATTGTGTAACCTGCAAACAAGCCAGAAGCTTGAGCAAATCGTGTGCGCGTACACGTCCACGTCAGTATTTGCACGCGTGCAAAGTGTCAGGGACGGCCACCTGCTGGCCAAGCGTCTGCCCAACGAACCAAAGTCTCAACTGGCAATGACTGACTTGCTGCACGGGCCAAGGAGGTGGTGCTGCTTGCACCGATGCTGCTGTTGCAACTGTGAGCCTGCAACTGTGACCCTGCCCTGCTGCTGCGGGTGCGGTTACGGCTGTGGCTGCTGATGCAATGGCAGTGCTGAACATGGTCACATCGTCAGCACACACAACCCCTTGATACACGGGCTTGACACGCTAAGGTTAATGTGTACGCTGACACTGCCGGGCATACTCCTGCTCACAAAATGCCGGAGGCCCCACGTCTGACACCCCACACGCTGCAAGCAATACCACCAGCAGTAGTATAGCAAGCGAGTCCGCACCCGGGGACAGTTGCGCGAACTAGAAATTGCGCGCAGGCGGCTCTTTCCCTTTTGTTTACAGACGCCCGTCTCCTCAACGCATGTCAAGCTGGCCCCCAGCGCACCCCTTGCTGCCTGCAGGCTGCAAAGCAGTACACGCCAAATCGAAGAATGCGCGCTGGCAACACTTCCTGCAGCTGCAAGCCTGTATAAGAGAGCACGTCACGCAGCAAACCAAACAGATAGGTGGGGTCCTGCCCCCAGTATCCATGCGCACGAACGCGGCCACGCGCGCAGCAGAGAGCGCCAGCACCGGGGCATGTGGACCCTACCTTGATGGGTGGACGGCAGGTGGGTTGGCTGGGAGCCATGCTCCCTGTACCAGCATGCTCCCGAAGCATAGTGTTACAGGGTGTGCAAGCGTTGGCAACACCCCAACAGACATATCAATAGTGTAGGAGGGCAGCACAGCCCTGTCGGTCCACAAGCGAGCCTTGCCTTGTCAAGTTGTGTACCACACAACAGCCTGCTATTGCTGCTGTATGGTGCACTCTTCTTGAGCGGCGTTGTGCTCACCTGTTCCATTTCCCTCCCCTCTCTGGTAGCCAGTCCAGTGTGTGGAAGGGATTTATCACTGTTTGAGAAATTTATCGCTGAAGTGTTTCACGCTCGAGCTCAAGAAAATTGACAGCCAGGTGGCAGTTCTGCGCAGATTGCATGCATACGCACTGTTTGTGGCTTTGTTGTGGATCTGAAACCCTCGTTGTGTTCCTTGTGCCGTGCACTTGATGGTCATCGCGAACATGGGTGCAAGTCGCAATTTACAAAGCAATGTGCTGAGCCTTTTCATAACTTGGCTGGTGGATCATGTTGATGGTAGTGTAGAATTCAAAATGTGGTGAGGGCACACTTCGACAACATCATTGATCCCCCACAAGGAGGCAAACAGGTTGAGAAGCACGTCAGTGATCTGATCCTTCATAAAAGGCAGCAGGTGAACATGGTCCCAGTGGGCTGGCAAATTGGCAGCCAGTGCAGCCCCCGTCATCTCTCGGAGATTTAAAACGTTCCAGCCGCAGCCTCGAGCTGCAGCAGTCAGGTTGCCCTCCATCTCTGTCAACTTTCGGCTTGGCGGGTTGTCGTGATACGTGGTTCGCCAGATCAGCTCTGTTTTACCGCCGTTAATGTTCAGTTGCTCCTGCTTGGCATGGCAAAGAACATGCGACCAGTAGGCGGTCATGTTCTCACCGCCCCACGCACCATGATTGAGGATGATTGCGTCTGCGCCGCTGTGCATGAGTGCCCTCAACGTCTCTAGATCACGACTTGCATTCGTGGCGCCATACAGGGGATATGTGTCAAGATTAAATTTGCCGTTGGGCGTCCTGACGTCCAGCCGCCGAGCGTAGCACTTGTTGACATCATCCAAACAGTGATGGGATGAATTCATGCAGCTCGAGGTGGTCGTGATTGACTTGACAAACCAGCGAAGCATCAGCGTGCGGGTGTCGTTGGTGTCAGTTGCATAGGAAGGGTTGCGAAACTGAGCCTGATGGTTCAGGCTTGGGGCAGTGTCTGGAACACCCGCGTACCGCTCCATCAATTGGCCTCTCGCTATAAAAACTCCCAAATTGAATACATGGTACCTCGTGAGTGAGTCTCCATAGAAGACCACAGTCCTGCCCAGCAGAATCCCCCGTGCTTGCGCAGCTGTGTAGCGCCGTAAACGGCACCCATGAGGCTCAAAATAGTGCTCCCCATGCGAGTCACGGTAGAAGGACCCTGCCAGATTTGTCTGGAAACCTATCTTGCACCAAGGCCGGTCATAGGTCGAATTGTGATGCGGCAATGGCACCTTGACGATCTTTAAGTAGTACAGGCCTGACTTATTTGTGGGGACATGTCTGGGCATGTTGTGCTGCACGGTAAATTCGTAAGTGCTGGGATGTCGCAGCGCTGGGGACTGAAAATGGGCAGAGAGCTGAACCCCAATAATCAGTAGAAACGACGAGACAAGTGTAGCAGCTGCAAACAGGTGTGCCAAGCGCATCCTGCGGGAGAGCGAGATGGGGACGTGCGCGCCGTTGCCTGGTGTTGTCTGGATGGTGAGGGTAATACGAGGTGCCGCAAGCCAGATGATCAACGGCGCATGTCCACTCCAGGCAGTGGGGAACAAGAGGGAAGTTTAATTGGGGCTCATCCGATCCCAGGAAGTGTGTGTGATTGCAAGATGCAATGCATATAGCTTGCATGAATATGGGTATGCTTGATCATGCAAGCAGAGGTGGACCATCGTCCGAGTGCTTCTCCAGTGGGCGGCGATGTTGGGCGAGGCTAGCAGCTCACAACCGCACACCACCACCGCAGCAAGTGTTGCAAGCAGGCGTGTGCACATTCTGAGTTTGGTGTCTCTGCCCGTACCTACACTGCTCCAAGACTACCCTTCGCTTCGCTGGCGGAGGGTATCCCCACTCCACCTGTTGCACAGGAGGCGGCGCGGAAGCTATGGCAGCACCACAAGGCAGCCAAGAGATCAGCATTTGAACCTCTTCAATTCAGGCGAGATACCGTAGAGGTCACAAAACGCGAAGATGACAGAGTCATACACAACAATGAATGTCCTGCATTATTCACCATCCCAGTACCGGTTGGCAGCGTGGTGTGCACAGCCTAGGAGTGCGGGGTTGAAAAGTCGAGTGGGGTGCCCATACCCGTTTGGCCCTTGAATAATCCCGCAGTTTTTTGCCACCTGGCAGATGACACCGACCCGGTTTTGCGGGAGGCGGTGGTGTGAGATCACTTCCAGCGGAAAAAAGGGTTCATGCCAGTGAGCCAGCGTCACGGGGTGCTTTTATGCTTGTGCTGGGTGTGCCGGCCGTTTTATGCAGTGAACAGTGGTATATGGTGGCTTGTGCATGGTTCGCAAGGGGATGTGGTGAAGTAGTAAGCGGTGTGCACGAATCACTCATGAACAGCAGCAGGGGGGGGGGCATTTTGCGGGTGATAGTCCCTGCTTGGCCCCGTCTTCTGGTTGTGATAGTAATGAATTCAATACTGGTATCATTCTATTGTAGTATCTCATCCAGCTGCATTCAATTCCATTCATGCTTAGGGACCGAGCCCAGGACTCGACTCAGGTGAGGTGCCCCGTACGCATGAGTGCTGTCTGTTGCTCTTGGCAAATACGCTTGGGCGCTGGCTTGCTGCGTGTGGCAGGGATGCAGGTTGGCGTTGCTGTGACATCTCAGACTGTCAAGGGGCGTCTGGATGTACTTCCTGAAGGCACGTTGTGTGCTCGCAATTCATTTGAGGGGTGGAGTTGACCGTATTAAAAGTCGTTCTTTGGGGGAAAGACACACACACACACACACACACACACACACACACACACACACACACACTCACGCACATGCAGGTGAGAGGAAGAGAGCAACAGATGAAATGATCCTGTAATTGCCTGGCCGTGTTATGATTTCATAAAAGAAAGGGCCGAGTACAAGGTTAAGGAGGGGCTTGTCGCACGCATGCCAATCGCAGTATCCACTGGATTGCTGATTCCAAGGCGGCCGGGAGCTGCTGAGCATTGATAAAGGTTTTCCACAAGCCAGACTTGATGACTCCGTTCAAAACGGCCACTGCTCAGCGTGTGGATGGGTGTGTTTCTATGTGCTGTGTTGGTGTATGTCGTGTGCTTGCACATGAATGTGAGCTGCTTGCTTGCGTGTGTGCGTGTGTGCGTGATGTGGGTCACGTTGACCCCAAACAAGCAATGAAGATCTGTTTGAAAGCAACCGGCGTTGTCTCTGCATGAGCCGCACGTGAAACAGGAGCTCATGGTAGTGTCGGGAGGCAGGCAGTGCGATGACGACACATTCCTTTCTTTGTTTGTTTGCTGCAGGATGCATGCTGCCAGGCCAGCGGGGCTTCCGTTGCAGGATGCATGCTGCCAGGCCAGCGGGGCTTCCGTTGCATAAAATGTCACCTTTGGCAATCAATGACACGGTGGCAAGCCTCCCACGCTGGTGATGGCCAAGCAGTTCCACAAGGGGTTGGCACAGCAAGCTGTTTTCAGGGCTTTGGCACGGATGCGTTGGGGTTGAAGAAAGGGGATCTATGTTGTTACAATGGTGGTGGCCGCGCGAGACTGGAGTGGTGCGCTGCCCGAAATTGAGGAAAGAAGCGCTACATTCCCTAGAGATGCCAATGGAGTGTGGCTTGTCTGCATCTATCTCTGGTCCTGCGTTCACAGTCGCTGCTTGACATACAGCGCAACGCACAACTCACATCAAACTCATCCCACTCGCCGGCAGGGCAACAGCCGCAGTGCAAACCGAGCATCAGTACTCTATCTGTGGCACGCCACCTTCCGCTGTGAGACGAATCAGGGTCGTTCGAGCTTGTGTTGGAGACGACTGGCAAAAGCGCGAGCATAAGCGCGCGCAGCAAGTGCGGCCGTGGCCACAAACATTGCCTTGCATGCCCCCGGCCCAGGGATGCATGCTTGTGAGAAAAGCAGCCCGAACGCACCTTGGCCGCAGATGCAGCCTGGTTGCCCAGCCTGTTGCCGCTGGTGCGTGGCGCCCTGCTCCTACGTACCAACAACGGCGTTTAGCACACACATCCCTCTTCAAAATTCCATCACTGTATCATGACGAAGGCGCTCCCCGCCACAGCCGCCCGTGCGCCCGACTGTCAAGCCGCCGCGACGGCCCTGGCGGGCGCGGCCGCGAGCGCGCCGGCGCCGTCGCCGCTCGTGGCGTCGACGGCGGCGCACACCTCCTGCACCACGCCGTGCGGCCACACCGCGGTGACGCTGCGCCTGCCTATGCATATGCTGAGGTCAATGCTGAAGGCCGGCGGCGGGCCTGTGGCCCAGGTGGCTTGCATGCGGATGTGGTGCGACTGCCACTGCGCGGGGCAGGCGGGACGAGCGGTTGGCAGGACCAGTTGTTGCGCGGGCCGGCGTGCATGCATTGGGCATCCAATATGGCTTTCGTGCCACTCAAAGAGCGGCGCGACCTCCCCAAACCCCAGCCCGCGCACTCTGCAGCGCCTGCCTGCCCACCCGGTCCGCCCGGCGTTGCGGCCCTCGCCCCGCAGGTCCCGGCACGGCTTCTTGCCCCCGCCGCCCGCCCGCCGCAGGACCGCACCTTAGCTCGGCTGACGGGCCGGTCCCCCACGGCCGGCAGCCACTGCCCCTGCGCGTGCAGGCTCGCCACCGCGCCGCGCAGCCGCGCGAGCACGGCCATGAAATCCGCCAGCTCCTCCTCGCTCAGGGGCACGCTCCAGCCCGGGCCCGCGGCAACTGCAGGAAAATCCAGGTCGTCAGCCCGCGGGTCCCTGGGTGGGGTGGGATCGGGGGTGCAAAGGGGACGTGGAGGGTGCGAGGCTGGTCGGTGGTGGTGGGAATTCAGAGGGCCTCATGGGTGGGGTGGGCTTGGGAAAGGCAGTGGGCTGGAGAGGTCGGGCTCGCAGGGGCAGGGCGGTTTCAGGGGATTGGAGGGGGCTGGGTGGGTGGTGGTAAGGAGAGTGCGACACTGAGAGTCTTCTCGGCGATTTTCCAATGACTTTCGTGCAAGCAAGCCACTCACTCTATCATTCCGAGCCGCCAGCCAAGGCCCTTGAGGGTGTGCGTGAGCCTGTTGAGACCTGCGCGTCGGTTGTGAACAGTAAGTATCATGCATGGGGAACGGTGGTGGGGTACTGGGGTGGGTGGGGGCCGGCTCATCCCATTGTCCCTCTGTCCCTCTCTCCCTCGCTCTCTTGGGGCGGGCACGCCCGGTGACCCACAGTCGCAACATGGCGGCAGGATTGCGCCAGCCGGCAAGCGCGCAAGGCCGGCAGTACAACAGTGCTGCGACATCACAGCAAAGCCCACAGCGACTAGGCGGACTCAGCAAGCCCAGTGTCTCCCTGCCCTTGTGTGGGCAGGGTGCCCTACTGCGGTTAAGCACTGAGGCCGTGAGCATACCATCCTCGCTGTCAGAGTCTGGAGAGTTGACCAGCACGCATCCGCTCTCGTCGCACACGAAGCCGAGGGCTGTCAAGCCATCGATGGACTCAAGCACGCCGGGCGATGCCGCCGTGGTTGCAGCCCGGCCTGTCACAGCGTTCAGCAGAGCGTTAGCCTCCGCTAGCATCCGGTCGACATCATCTTCGCTTCCAGACGCCTGCGAGCGGAGTCGAACGAGCCCTCACAGTTGAGAGTGACACACAGAAACGCCAATCAAGCCGGATCGCCAAGCATAGTGAGCGCATTGTATACTTCTGCGTCATCTCATCTTACCCTGGGTGCTATGTGCTGCAGCCTTGCCTCATGCCGGGGCACAGTTGCTCGACCCCCGCGCCCGCCCCGAACCAGCCCTTTGATACGCGTCAAGGAAGCTAACATGATTCGAGAAAGTTTCGATATGACTTTACCCGTAGACGATAGCTATATGTTGAGATACGTGGTGATCTGAGGAGGAATGAATCATCAGGTGACTTGCTAGGAGCATGAGCAAAGTTGGTGCAATTGGTGGTCGACCGCTTGGCCGGTGAACTCGCCGCTGAGTCAATGTTGTCACCCAACCTCTCACCAGGTGTTTGCAGGGCGAGGATCCGGTGTCTTGACGTTGACTCTTACAACGACATATTCAGAGCAGCTTGCGCCACCGAGAGGTCATTTGCTATCATACTCTAGCTTCACCGTGGCTACGATTTTCTTGCGTGCTGCGTTGGCCAGCGGGCAGCTTGCATCGCGGCACGTGCTGAGCTGTTTTGCTTCTGTAACACGTTTGATCATGAGTAGCATCGCGCCGGCGGCGGCTGCCTCGGTGGGCGTGTCCCCCGCCGCCGTCGGCGCTGCTGCTGCTTCTGCGGCTGCTGCAACAGCACCCCATGCGCCGCCCTACACCACCCCGGAGGCCCTCGATGCGCATGTCACGCGCGCATGGGCCCACTTTCGCGCCCTGGGCAGCCCCATGTGGCATGTTGCCCCGATGGTCGACCAAAGCGAGCTCCCGTTCCGCATGCTGTGCCGCCGCCACGGCGCGGCGGCGGCCTACACGCCGATGCTACACGCGCGGCTGTTCCTCGAGAACAAGGGCTACCGCGCCGAACACTTCACCACGTGCCCAGAGGACCGGCCGCTGTTCACGCAGTTTTGCGCCAACGACCCCGACGTGCTTGTGGGCGCGGCGTCGCTGGTGCAGGTGTGGCGGGGCGTCTGCCACTCGTAGGCTGCACCTTCACGCATCGGCATGCGCTTTCGCGGGCCGGGCCGGGCACACTGAGAGTGACAGTGACCCGACTCAACCCCCAGGGCTGCACCCGCCTCGGTCTGCCTCGCATTTGCCGGCACCTCCGTGCCAATGCGAGCCCGTGCGCACCCCCCGCCCCCAGGATCAGTGCGACTACATCGACTTGAACCTCGGCTGCCCCCAGCGGATCGCCAAAAAGGGGTACTACGGCGCATTCCTGATGGATGACCTCCCCCTGGTGGAACGCATGGTCACGCGCGCCGCGTCCTCGCTGCGCACGCCGGTCAGCTGCAAGATCCGGCTGTTCCCCGAGCTTGAGCGGACCCTCGAGTACGCACGCATGCTGCAGGCGGCGGGCTGCAGCCTGCTGGCGGTGCACGGGCGGACGCGTGCCATGAAGGTGCGCCGCAACGGGGTAGGAGGGGGGACCTGTAGGGATCGAGGATGCGCAGAGGCGGCGGGCCGCGGCCCCTGCTGCGGCTGGCTGCGGCGCGGCGTGCTGTCGCTGCGTTTGGGGCCTGCGTCAGGGGGGCGCACGAGGAGGTTCGGGCGTCCTGCAAAAGTTTATGTGGGCGCATTCAGAACGCAGTCACGTTTCCATACGGTTCGCCTTATTCTCATCACAAACCGCACGGACCACAGGACACCTCTGGCAACCGCGCCGACTGGGACGCCATCCGCGCCGTCCGCGCGGCGGTGCGAATACCAGTGCTGGCAAACGGCGACGTGCGGTGCCTCGACGACGCGCGGCGCCTGATGGCGCACACCGGCGCTGACGGGGTGATGTCAGCGGACCCGCTGCTGTACTACCCGGCGATATTTGACCCAGAGCTGCAGGGCCCGATCATGAGGGCAGCTGCCGAGAAGCTGCAGGAGCAGCAGCAGCAGCAGCAGCAGCAGCAGCAGCAGGCGGGCCAGCCTGCAGCGGCGGGGCTTTCTGACTCCCAGCAGCAGCAGGAGCAGCAGCAGCAGCAGCAGCAGCAGCAGCAGCAGCAGGAGCAGCAGCAGCAGAAGGAGCAGCAGCAGCAGGAGCAGGGTCAAGAGCTTGAACCGGCGGCGCTCGCGGGGGCGGGGCCGGCGGCCGTGTCGGAGGCCGCGACGCACCCGTCCGCGCTGTCCCCCGCCGCCGACCCCGCGCACGCCGCGCACGTCGAGCGCTTGCGCCTCTGCCGCGAGTACGCGGAGGCGTACGCCACGCACCCGGCGCACCCCCGAATGGTGAAGGGCCACGCGCACAAGCTGCTGCAGGGCTGGCTGGCCGAATTCACTGACGTGCGCGACCGCCTGAATTCCGGGGCGGCGTCGACACCGGACGCGCTGCTGGGGCTCGTGTGCGAGCTGGAGGCGCGCGTGGCGGCCGCGGGGAGGCCGTACCCCGTGGCGCGGCCCTGCGACAGGCGGCAGGTCCAGGCGGCGCGCGAGGCGAAGCGGCGGGCGGCGATTGCCGAGCAGGAGCGGGAGGCGGCGGCGCTCGCGGAGCTGGACAGGACTCAAAATTATCAGCAGCAGCAACAGCAACAGCAGCAGCAGCAAAGGCAGCAGGAGCAGCAAGAGCAGCAGCAACTGGATCGGGAGGGCGAGGGGCAGCAGCAGGGCGAGGCTGGTGGGGAGCGCGCCATGACCGAGCCGGCGGCCAAGCGGCCTTGTGTGGTTGCGGCTGTTGTGTAATGACTGCGCCGCAGCTGTGAGTTTGATATGACATGCTCAGGCCCTGCTCGCTTTCGCGCTGCCGCTTTCGAGAGCACTGGGGTGCCTGTGCAGGCCCCTGCAGTCCTCTGTTCAAGGCCACAGCTGCGGCTATGGTAGTCAGAGGCAGGGGCGCAGTGGGTGGGTGGGTTCATGCGGTGTGATGGGTGCTGGGTTGGATGGGGCTGGGCCGCCACGATATCTCAAATGAACATTTTGCCCGTCGGCCTTGGCAAGGTCTGGGTGCTGTGACCTATGCACCTGCAGATGATGTCAGCATGGCCAAGAATGCAGCCACCCGAAGGGGCTGAGTGGGGCTGAAGGCGGCCCACCGCACAAGCTCATTCCATAACACAGGCATAACTGCACCATAGCAGAGGACCAAGCCGCAGCCGGCATCCAGATGCTCAGGGGGTCAGGCATCTTTCAATTCGTGCAGCCGTGATCACACACAACGAGCATCACTTTGGGCAACGTTACAGTAGTGTCGGCTGCTCGCAGGCTTGTCGTCGATTCAATCATCGTTATTGTTAACTGGTGTTTGCGGTCACGTTAATCAGGAGCTGCCGTGCGCACGGGGTCCTCGTGGTCACGCTCAATGGCTAGCCTACGGGCAGCGCTTGTGATCGTGATTGCTGTGTCAAGCCTAGATCTCAATTACGCTGCAAGGTAGTGCCGAGAGCCTGGTGTGTCGAACCAGATCGCATGATCGCGCCGCGCCTTGGGTGCCCAATACAATCGTAATGCTCTGAAAAACACCAATCTGACGCACTGAGATACAATTGGAGTGCTATATAGCCGCCGACGGCTGCTGCATCTGCGCGGCATGCATGCGAGCGCCATACCGCGACGCCGACCTTGCCTCCCGCTCCCTTGTGGATTGCCCCCCGCTCCCTTGTGGAGCCCTTCATTTCCACGAAACGTATAGCTTACAATGATGCAGTTTTTGCAACTGCAATACAAATCATCTATCACGGGCCTAAACACATTCCGGTGCCCTGCACCTGGTGGCGTGTGCGCCCCACTTGCAGGCCGCCGCGACCGCAGGCCTTGCAGGTGGTGCACCGCCGCGGGCCCGGCAGCAGCGACGCCGCCAATGAGCGCCCGATTATCGGCATCCTGACCCAGGCGCGCACGGCGCGTCCTGCATGACCCAAATCGCCACGCGGCCGCGGCCGCTGCGGCCCCACGGCTGACGGCTTCTGCAGCTCGAATCCGCCCCATCATCGGCCCTCCAGCATTGCCTGCACTCAAAACCACGCCCAAACCCGCGCGCAGCCCGGCGACCCCGCCCCTGAGGGCAGCTCCTACATCGCTGCCAGCTACGGTGGGCCTCCGCCAGGGCCGGCCGCCGCGCTGATGGCGGCGCCGCAGATTAGCAGCTGCCTTGCGCATGCTTGCTGCCTCGCACCTGCACCCCGTCAAAGCCAATGCCACACGGCTTTGTCTGACGTGGCAGATGACCTGGCCCGCATGCCATACGCACTCCCTTTTCGCAGTGAAATGGGTCGAGGTGAGCGGCCGCGCCAGCCGGAGAGCGGCGGCCGCCCGGCGCCGCGCAACCGCAGCAGCGCCCGCTTGCCGGCGCCGCCTTTCGGCCCGCCGCCGGACCCCTGCCGGTCCCCCCAGGCAGCGCGTCGGTCGTCCCCTGCGCCCTATGTTTGGGCGGGCGTGACTCCCCCACAACCCCCACCTCGCCCCCACCGCCAAATTCGTCACGCGGGCTCTCCCTCACCCCCCAAAATGTCAACGGTCTCCCCACCAGGCTGCTGGGGCGCGGGTGGTGCCGATTTTCTTTGACGAGACTCCCGAGGAGATCCGCAGCAAGTGGGTGCCACCAGGCGGGGGCCGGACTGGGCTGGGGGAGGGGCTGCAGGGTTGGGCGGAGGAGGGGTTGGCTGAGGGCTGTGGACGGGTAAGGGACTGCCGCGGTGGGCTGTGGCTGTGCCCTTCTGAGACGGGCGTTGCTGCAAGCGAGAAGGGCGTTGCTGCACCCGGGTATGCGCTGGCCGCCGCTTGGGCCCCGGCGGCGCTGCCCTGCAGGGTGGTTTACGTTAGTTGGCATGAGATGCGAACGCGCCGCTGGGCTGCAGACGATGGTGGTGGTTGGTGTGAAAACATAGAACAGCTCGCTCTCCCCTTCTTACCTGCGAGCTCCCCAGCCGGCGTTTGCTTCTGGTCCCACACACACAGCCCGGAGTTTCGCCCTTCGGCCCTCGGCCTATTTGCCCCGCAGGTTTGCCGTCATCAACGGCCTGCTGCTGCCCGGCGGCGGCGCCAGGCTGCGGCCGGGACACCCCTTTTATGACGCCGCGGCGCAGCTCACAAACCTGGCCATCAAGGTGGGGGCCGCGCAAGATGGCGCGCATGCATCCTTGTGTGCGTGTGTGTTTGTGTGTGGGGGAGTGAGGGCGTGAGTGTGAGTGTGTGTGTGTGTGTGTTTGTGTGTGTGCGTGTGTGAGTGCGTGTGTGTGTGTGTCTGTGTGCGCGCGCGCACGTGCGTGTGTGTGTGGGGGGGGTGGATAGGTGAGTGGGTAGAAAGTGCGTGTGCGTGTGAGGGAGAAACAGAGAGGATGGGTGGGTGTGCATTATTGGGTGCAGAAGAGGGATGTGTCCAAGCACAGCTCAAGCTGAGACTCATCTCTTCGTATCTTGCACCTTCTCATGCGCTGAACCCTGCCTGCTGGCATTTCTTGTGCGCACGCGTGCACACCGCGCGAGTGCGCGCGCTTGCGCGCGCACACACACACACACACACACATACACACACACACACACACTGAGAACGCAATGTATGCATACGCCCACCCTCTCCGCACCCGCCCCCTCAGGCAAATGAGGCGGGCGACTACTTCCCGGTCCACGGCACGTGTCTTGGAATGGAGACTCTCTCCATCGTGGTGCGCCGCGCGCGCACACGCCGCCGCCACATACTGCGCTCCGCGCGCCGGATGGCGCCGGGCGGCGCGCCCCTGGCGAGCCCGCGTCCCGCCGGTCGAGCGCGGCGGTGGCTGCCCCGGCTGCGGGGCTTTTGATGCCGATGCGCAGGTCACTTGACAAGCTCCGTCTTGGCCACGTCATCCCCGTGCGCGCGTGCGCGTGCGCGCGCACACACACACACACACACACACACACACACACACACACACACACACACACACACACACACACACACACACACACGCGCGCGCGCGCACGAGCGCACACACGCACCAACGCACCCCAGGTGAGCGGCAACTACAGCCTGCTGGCCGATATGGACGCGGAGGACGCGGCCGCCCCCCTGCTGTACAC